CGTGTAGGCTCTTGTTTAGGTTCACTTGTAGAATCTTAATGTTCTCTAAACATAGAGATGGCTGCTGAGGGCCTCTCTTTGTTAATAGCTAGAAAGATCTCGCAGTCTTTGCTATTAGCGAAGTGGGGCTTTTTGCAGTTGTAGCACTTAGGGAGAGTGTGTCTGCATGGCTTTCCTTTCGTGCTGCAGCTTGAGCAGTTGTGCTAAGCAGTTGTGTGGCTTTCTGCGCATAGCTGGCATGCTGCTTAGTTTTAGCACCTGCTTGCGTTGTGGCTAAAGGCTTAGCAGTTTGAGCACTGCGTTGTAGGTGGCGTGGACCTGTATTTCTCAGTTTAGAGAGACTGGCCTAGGATTGTGATCCTACTACCTATCTTCTTAGCTTCCTCTTCTGTCTTAAAGGCAACTACTATAGAGCTAGTCTGCTTGCTCTTCTAGTTCTTTGTTAACCAGTAGGGGTTGCCAACAATAGTTTGTCCTTTGTTGTAGGTTGGGATCTCGTTGTGGAGGACCTGGAGCGATTCGGCTCCTTCGAACGTTGTTGGCACTCCATGGACTACTACCTTAGTCTAGGCTTCAATTAGTTAGGCCTTTTTGACTTAGAGTTGGTTTTGCCAGGTGTTAATTTGCTGTAGTAGAAATTCGCTAGAGTATCCTTCAGTTGTTGTAATAATTAGGTTGTTCTTTCTGCTAACTAACACCTCTTTAACAATAGGGGCTGTTATGCCTGCCTTCTGGAAAGCTTGATTGATTTTATTCCTAACTATTAGCGGGCTAGTTGACTGGCCTTCCTCTAGCGTTAGAAGCATCTGGTAGTGAGCGGCTGGCTTCTTTAGGTTGGCTTTCTTCCTTGGCTGTACTATTATCCAGGGCTGGCTTGTTGTGTTCTTAGCTGCGATTGTAGCGTATAAGGCCTAGGGCTTTTAAGTTAGTTAGGAAGGAGTAGAAGCTATTATTGTAGCTACAGTTGTGGCCTTCTTTAGTGTTTTTGTTGCCTATTAGGAGGCGTTTGCAAGAGTAGCTAAGTGATAGGCGAGTTTGGCGGACAGTTTGTTAGCAAACTAGTTTACTACTCTGCCTTTCTTAGTGTAGTCTCTAAAGACATCTAGTAACTCTAGGAGCTTATCTTGGGCCACATGAGATTTAGCCATAGTTAACGCTTGGAGAATCAGGTCTCTCGCCCAGTAGATGGCCTGCTCCGAGTTCTTGGCAGTTGGTTTTGGGGTAGAGGAGTTCTGGAAGGGGTTTCTGCCTCTATAGGCAGCCTCTGGCGAGAAGTTGGCTTGGCGCTTTTTTGGTGGTAGGATTGGGATTTCAAAGATGCTCTCTTGGCTGGCTGGTTGCTGGGTAGGAGTGGCTGGGTAGGGGTCCTCTCTGTCCATTTCCCTGTCGATCTGAGCCTCTGGGCCTAGGCTCTCTTGCCTCTGTTCTAGCACTTGGGCTTCGATAGTATCGCTTTCTAGTGGCATTCTGTTGCTGGGGTTCTCTTATTACTAAGCAGAGTGGTCTGTGTGTTTTTGTTTTGAGTGTGAGACGTGTCTTAACTATCTGCTCTTATAGCTTATAGCTCCACAGCGCGCACGCTGCACGTCTTAAAACTTGCTGTAATTAGTTTCTTGTAAGGGATTTGTATATATTTAACAAAAATTACACCTATTCTAGAAAACTTGACGTTGGTGTGTGTGTGTGTGCGCAATCGCTAGTATCTTTAATTAGGTAGCCACCTATTAGAGATACGAGAGGAGATAGAAGCTAGCTTAGTAGAAAGAAGAGAAAATATTACGCGCTCTACATATGTAAATAGATAGATAGAAATAGAAAGTAAAATAATTACGCTTCTAGTTAACACTTTATAAGTAGAGTTACTATACTATCTTAGTAGGCTACTACTTATTAAAGTAGTATATAACAAGCTGAAATAAATAAAAAATTTAATAGTAATAAGAAAAAAAAGTTATAGTTTTTAAGTAGTGTTTATTGTAAAGGGCTACGCTAGAGAGGTATGACCTACAGGTCACATGGTAGTGAATCACATGACTTTAGTGACGTAACTAAATAACGTAGTTAGCTACGTACGAACAAGCTTAAGTAAGGAGGAAGACTAAAGGTCTAAGCGTTTGTACGAGTAATAACTATAAAAGGAGGGCCCTCTAGATAGTTCTTTTCTATATCTTTCTTCTTCTATACAATAGGTGAATGCATACTCGTTAGTTAGGCCTCTCTCGCCTATAATATAAGAAGAAAGATTAACACTCTTTAATCTCTCTTGTACGATACAAGAGAGACTAAAACAACGCAAGAAGAAAGAGATAGAGTTACAAGGAACGCCACTAGCCTCTAGCCCAGCTATGCTAGACGAAGAATCCATCGCCTTTATCCGTACAATGAGAGG